CCAGAAGATATCCCAGGGCCTGGCGGCCAGGCCGAGCAGCCAGCCGGGAGCAGCTGACGCAGCTGTGGGTGAGTAAAGCTTTGTTTGCTCTTGGGAACTGTACGGGGTGGGGGTTGTGTCTCTTCTAGGTTCCTGCTGGCCCTCCGCAGTCATGATGTTTGACAGCTGATCGGGTCCACGCACGCAGAGTCTTTATTCAATAACAATCAAAAAGAGATTCAGTTCTGAGAGATTTCAACGGTGAGCGATGCTCAGGATAACTGTTTAGGCCTACGAAAGTGTACAGATTGTGTTACTGAAGAGGTCGCTGCGTAAAGATTGGACCAAAGATTATGTCAAGGAAGGATTGTGTCCCAAAGTAATGTGATTGGGACAGAAGGAGTGGGGCATTGCAGAACAAAGGAATAGCTGGTCTTTGACAGTGCAGAAGCTGAGAAAACCGCCTGGTTTGAGTGGGTTGTGGTCAGTTACCAAATAACTTCCAGATTTATCAAAGAAAACCAAAACATCCAAATCTAAATACTGGGGGAAAAACCTTTTGGTTTTGTTGTTGTTGGGTTTTTTTTATTTATTTTATTCATATTCATCATCTCTCTCTTTTCAATTATTCCTTCACTGTTCCTACCGTGGCAGGATTGTATACATTTGGGGTGTAAGTGCCTCTCATCTGTGTTATCTTCTAAACTGTGGCATAGGTTGTAAATCTTACACAGTCATGATCCTGCCTTATTTGCAGACTTGCTGCCGTAAAGCACAGGCTATACTTACGTGTCTGCCAAAACAGTAAGTGCTTGGCACTGATGCCTTTGGCATGTTGGCATCGTACTACATGGTGCCCTAGAAAATATTACTTGCATATCCTTATCCTACTGGTGTTCTTTTGTAATGCTAATTAAATCTTGATTCATTGCCAAAACTGCCTATAAAATGAAATTACTGAAATTTCTTTTACATATTCATTGCTAGATGGTAGCAAACATATAAGGAGACAAACAAGTGTAGAGATACTTCAGCTACTGGGAAAATAGAGAGCAATGTTTGCCTTTGTTTGGATATCGTTCTTCTCTTGACTTCTCCTAAAGGCCAATCATGAAGAGAAGTGGTGACTCAATGTAGATTTTCTGCCAGTTTTCTCTTGAGATAAGTGTGATATTTGTAATTTCTCTGCTGATGGAGCATGTTATATCTGCCACTGCTTCACTGCTGTCATGAAACAAGCAGGACCAATTACCAGAAGGAGTAGGAGTGAATGTGGGCTGGTTGCTTCATACTCCTGTGTAAAAGAAGTTCTCTGGATAAAAATGGAATCCCTGCAAAGCATGGGTGATATTTCTGAAATTCTTTGTATCAAACGAATCCTACAGAAATAGAAGCAAGTATCCTAGAAGTGTGAATTTTATTTTTTTCTGGGTTCATTACATCGATGTCCTTATTCATTAAAATCCCATTAAAGGTAATTGCTCTGAAAATATTAAAATGTTATGAAATTTAAATCAGCATATAAATTACTGTAAAAGATTAGGTGGAAACTGAACTTGAGCTGTGATTTTCTGCAAAACAGCTGCAGGGAGAGATGTGAGCCGTTATTTATTACAATTCTCTGAGGACACTATTTAAAATTCATTTTGAATAGCAGTGAAAACTCTTTCCCAATTTCCTAGAACCCGATGCGGTGGTAAGAAGGCAGGAAGCTTTGGCAGCAGCTCGCCTCAGGATGCAAGAGGAGTTGAACGCACAAGCAGAAAGATACAAAGAAAAACAAAGACAGGTAACCAGAGAGCATTTCTTTCTTTAACTCATAAATTTGTCATCAGGTACTTTGCTTGGTTTATTCCATGCTAGATACCAGAAGAACAGGAGATTTAACTCCCTGCTGGAATGTGGGTGGTGGTTTTTTCCCCCCTCCTTTAGCTGGGCCACTTTTGATATGGTTTGATCCATGGAGCAGTAACGAGCTGTAGGTATCATGATGGACCTCCAGTGATGCAAGCATGTACTTATATGCTGTGCTGACCTGATATCTTGATGCTCCTGGTTGATTAAAATGATTGATGCATGTAGTATTCTGCTCCTTCCTGAAGTAGTTAATCTCTGTGGCACTTGCTTGTCCGCAAGTAATTGTGTGAGTGGAACACTGTGGGCCTGATCTTTGGGGTTTTTTTTACAGGTAAATCTCTACCTACAGAAACTTAGTTATATGCACAGTGAATGGCTGGAGGGGATTTACTGATGTTTAGATTAACTGTACTACTGCATAGATGTATTTTCTGTTCTTAATGGCAAATATAAGTTCTTAGAAATGTAGCTTAGCATTGCTGTGATTTAATGGCTTGAACTACAGCTTGAGATAATGAAGATTATTATATTGCTATGTGGGGCAGCGTAGAAAGGTGGATGTGATCAGCATAATGATAGTATTGCTCATTAGTCCCAACCCTTCTGGTTTTGCTTTTGCAGTCAGCTACATTCAGGCCTCAGTTTATAGCTGGTGCTTCAAGAAATATTGGCAGTTAAAAATGAACAAAAAATCGTACTGTGGAAGGAAATAGCCACCATGTAGAAAGTCTTGGTCTAGCATGCTTGGAACTGGGGAGCTTTGCTTTCTTTTTCTTTGGCTGGATGGAGTAGCTACCTCATTTCCTTTCTGTTTGTCGAGAAGGAGGCAGTCTGTCTTAACCATTAATTTATTTGGTTTTGTGGATAAATTGCTTTACAAGAGAGCTGGGGGAACTCTTGATAAGGTATATTGGGATGTAAATATGTAGCTGGCTCTCTTGTTCCTTTGAAAAACACACTTTCTTCTGTAGAACCCTATATTGTGCATTAAATTACTATCAAATGCAATATTCTTTACTCAGTACTTTTAATAAACTCAGGACTTAAGCTTGCCACTTGGTTCTGCTTTACTTTCAAAATGTTTTTAAGCATCAGGTGGTCAAACGAACCTGCAGGCACAGTCTGTATATATTGAAGAGGGGTGGTGGTTCTCTGCTTGGGAAGATGTGGGTGTTTAAAATAGTAAATGCTTCCATAAGCTCGGAGATACTGCATCAGGTACAGATCGATCCCTTGGGTTTTGATGCGCCTGTTGTAGCTATATCTGTAGCACTGGCAGTTCTATCAGTTCTGAAATCTTAGTCTTGTGTATCCTGGATTTTTTCCTTAGCTTGAAGAAGAGAAACGAAGGCAGAAGATAGCAATGTGGGAAAGTATGCAAGAAGGAAAAAGCTATAAAGGAAACCTGAAACTGAATCAGGTAAGAACTGTGTTATTAATCAGGTTACAAATATGTTTCTTTGATTAGATTAGCTGAAATTCACGTTGATTAAATTCTGAGTAACTTTTGCTTTTGTTAACAGCAAGAAGTAGAATCTGGTGCCTCCACCTCATCAGCACTCTCGAAATCTAAACCAAACAAAAAGCCCTTGCGAGGAGGTGGTAAGTATGAAACCCTTAAGATATTCTGAGCTTGAAACAGAGCATTTATCCAGCTGCATACATAGTCATTACGTGTATTTTTTTCTCTTCTTCAAGGAGGAAACAAAATGTGCCTTGCAAACGAGCTCTTTGTCTCTAATCAGTGTGGTCCACTTTGCACTTTGTGCAAAACGTAGCAGGAGGTTTCTATGCTGCTTTTTCCCAGGGAAGCAGTGTTCTAGTTTTCTTGTAAATGCTTTTGTCATAATTTACTGAGATTTTTGTCGCTTATAATGTTTCCAGGATCCCTCCCCCATTATTGTGAAAGTCCAATAATTTAATATCTGGTCTGTCTTTCAATCACCTCTAGTACTAACTAAATGCAGGAAGAGGATATTTTACTTTGTATTATGTAGAATCAGGAAGATGAAAGACTTCATTAAGCAAAATGTGACCTTATTTATCAGGTATCACAATAATGACCTATTACATATATAAATCCTGCAGATGTATAAACTCTTACCAACTCTCGCAAACTACCAGAGGGTCTTACCATTAAACTCTGTCAGCCACTGAAATCATCTTGGTGGATGAACTGCTTTCTGTGGCCCTACAAAGCCCACATTAGGATCACTACCGTATATCGGCCATGCCGCTAGTCTCCTTTCTTCTTGCCCAAACCGCCTGTGCAATACCTGCAAGTTCTAATTTGCTTATAATATTTTTAATTACAACTTTCTGTAGCAGAGGGGACCCTCTAGACAGCCTCAATCCTATCAGACTAAAAGGGAAACCCACTTAGGGTGCAGTGCTGAGTAAGTCACTTATTTGATCTGTGAAACTTGAAGATTCTCGACTGAACGTATTAAACCTCAATAATAGTTCAGTGCTGAAAGTTCTGCTTTGATTATTATTACTGGCAGTTGTTGACAACATCTAAAGAAAGTGACCAATTGATTCACCTTATGTTAATCTGAGTGCAGTCTAATGTCTGATACTGTTAAATATCCTTTATAGCTCTTGCATGAGATATTTACCGCTATGGGGGATGAGAAATGCAGGAGTAATAGCTGCGCTAAGAACCAGGATCAGGGCAGCTGGGCTGAGGCACCCTTCCAGCTGCTACCTGTCCTAGTTTCATCCTAAGCAAAATCGTTGCTTCAGTAACAGCTGATAGAATTAGAGGTCTCTGATCTTCTCATAAGGTAGATCAGTATGAAGTGAAAGAACCATCTGCGCTGTTCAGCTGCTGAATTAAGCTAGAAAGCGGAACTTGGCTAGTATGAGAAAAACAAACTTCAAAGATGGAGGTGATGCTTGAAGTTTCAGTGGAACAGGTTGCTTTGAAACCTGCTTGGTTAGCAAGGCTGCTAGGTGTTTGGGTTTCTCTTTTTTTGCCTTGTACAGAACAAATCGAGGACATTTGCCAAGTTGCATCTTTCCAAGTACATATTTGTAAAATGAAGTTGCCTGTAGTTATGGCATTAGGAGGTTCAACTAGAGTATCTCTCTTCCTTACTGCATATATACTTGCCTTTTCAAATTCTTTTTAAAAAATCTTACAATAGTAATGAGTGGATCCACCTTTTGACCTTCAGAGTATTCCTTGCAGGACTGGAATAAAAGATTATTTTATGTCTCTAACTATTAGGGCTCTTGGAGAACAGATACCCTCTTACAGACTTTACTGTAAGCGTTAGTATTACCGCTCTGTTTACTTTACACGGGAGCACTAAAGCTTTGATGCAAACTTAGAGAAATTAAATGATAATTAATGTCAGTTTAATCTTAATTGATCAAATTAAAACATGAGTGTTTTGCAATGGCTTTTACTGTTAGCACTACAAAAATAAACCATCTCAAGTCTGGGTATTTTCTCTGCTTTCGTTTTCCTTAAAATGCTGCCTATGTAGTAAGTATCAACAGGGTGCAAATCATCGTGAAATTTATTTTTTGTGTTCCTTATGTGTTGGTGAAGGCCTGTTGAGGATGAATATTGATACGGTGTATTTCTCCTCTGTACTTCTAGGCTATAACCCCCTCTCTGGAGAAGGAGGCGGAACTTGTTCCTGGAGGCCAGGCCGGAGAGGCCCGTCAGCAGGTGGATGAGGCTAACCTCCCTAGTGTCTCCTGGCACTAGCGGGCTTGATCTTACCCACTGTCTAACTGCCTACAGTTTGCATGTCACAGTGACTCCTTTGGGACGGGGCTTAGTGCGGGTGCTAACTTGAAAACAGATTTACACCATTTCCAAATAGTAATGCAGATGCTGATACTACCCAAGAAAAATATCTGATGCTCTTAGGGAGGATGAAGAAAGAAAGAATTTCAGCATAATCAGATCATTTGCACTCTTCTGTAGAGAGGAAGTGTGGTCTCCAGCCAAGGTGCATCACCTGGGATTGTGAGATCTGGGTTCTGTACCTAGCTATTCAAAAGACTGGCCTCAGGCAAATTTAATTATCTACACTCAGTTCACCTCTGTAAAATGAGGATATTTACCATCCTCAGACATGTGTTACCAGATTTACTGTGT